CGTGAGCCACCACCCCGACTCTTCCCTCCATTTTCAAATCCAGCAAGGACACATTACATCCCTCTCACCCTCTGAATCTCTCTCTCTCCTTCCTCCACCCTCTCTCTTCTGCCTCGAGCCAGAGAATGTCCTCTGCTTTTAAGGGCTTATGTGATTAGACTGGGTCCACCCTAATCATCTTCCTATTTTAAGATAACTTTAATTCCTTCTGCTAAGTCCCTTTTACCAGATTCTGGGGTAGCGGCCATGGACGTCTGTGGAGGATCATTATTCTGCCTCCTGCAGTGGGGGTGTGGGGGAATGATGTTGAAGGGTATAAAACAAGGCGCATCCATTTCCCAAAGGGACAGAAACCTGGTGTCTTAAAACAACAGCGATTTATTGTCTCACTGTTCTGGAGGTGAGAAGCCCCACATCGAGTTATCCAGAGGGTGGTGCTCCCTCTGAAGCCTTAACAAAGAAGCCTTTCTCTCTTCCTGCCGCTCCCAGTGGCTGCGGTCCTCCCTGACATGCCCTGGCTTGCTGCTGCAGCATTTCAGCGGCTTCAATCACGCTGTGTCCTCCCTGTGCATCTAAGTCCACACCTTCCTCTTGGTATAAGGACACAGTCATATTGAATAAGGGCCCACCCTAATGACCTCATCTTAACTCAGTAACATTTGCAAATATCTTACTTTTTTTTTTTTTTTTGACTCTCTTTTGAGTCTCGCTCTGTCGCCCAGGCTGGAGAGCAGTGGTGCAATCTTGGCTTACTGCAACCTCTGCCTCCTGGGTCGAAGTGATTCTCCTGCCTCAGCCACCTCACCCTGCTACTTTTTTGTATTTTTAAGAGAGAGGAGGTTTCACCAGGTTAGGTGACTCAATCTCCTGACTTCATGATCTGTCTGCCTCGGCCTCCCAAAGTGCTGGGATTACGGGAGTGAGCCATTGTGACTGGCCAGAGCTTACCTCTTTTTCTTATTTTTTATTTTATTTTAATTTTTTTGAGATGTAGTCTCGCTCTGTCACCCAGGCTGGAGTGCCGTGGCGTGATCTCAGCTCACTACCATCTCTGCCTCCTGGGTTCACGTGATCCTTCTGCCTCAGCCTCCCAAATAGCTGGGACTACAGGCATGTGTCACCATACCTGGCTACTTTTTTTTTTTGAGATGGAGTTTCGCTGTTGTTGCAACAGCACGATTTCGGCTCACTGCAACCTCTGCCTCCTGGGTTCAAGCAATTCTCCTGCCTCGGCCTCCCAAGTAGCTGGGACTACAGGCACGTGCCACAATGCCCAGCTAATTTTTCTATTTTTAGTAAAGACGGGGTTTCACCTTGTTGACCAGGATGGTCTCAATCTCTTGACCTTGTGATCCAGCTGCCTCGGCCTCCCAAATTGCTGGGATTATAGGAGTGAGCCACCGCGCCCGGCCCCCTGGCTACTTTTTTTTGTATTGTTAGTAGACACAGGGTTTCACCATGTTGGCCAGGCTGGTCTTAAACTCCTGACCTCAAATGATCCACCCACCTCAGTCTCTCAAAATCAAAGATCTTATTTCTAAATAAGGTTATATCCCTAGATATGGGAAGTTAGAACTACCACACATCTATTTTTTTGGCGGGGAGGAAGGTGGTCACAATGGAACCCCAAACACAGGTAATGCTGGAGAAGCAGTAAGCACAAGGCCTGCTCTGGTCTGCTTCATCTACAGTAGCAGCTGGCAACGTGCAAGTCAAGTCTCAGATACTGTCTGGGTCCCTGTGAGCATGGACTGGGGCAGCAAGTGAATGTGTGATGAGAGCTTGAGAAATCAGGCCTCTCGAGGCCTCCTTCCTGACTGCCCCTCCTATCTCATGCTCAGCTTCCCTTCCACACCTCTGCTCAACCTGGTCCCCGTCTGCGGCGCCCGTTCCCTTTTCCCAGGCAATCCAAATCCGCATCCTGGCCATTCTTCATGTCCCACCTGCTCTGGGAGAGGCCACCCTCACTTGCTACACCCATCGGCAAGGCAGGTGATTAAAGATGGGAATGGACCATGCTGCTCAGCTGGCTGGAAACAGAGCCTGTCTATTAGGAAATGCAGACAGAAAACTCAACTCTGCCAGAGAGAAAGGAAGACACAGCAAGGCGCTGACTCCGTGGCTGAAAGATTCAGAAGAGCAATTTTCAGGCAAGAAAATGCGCCCCTTCCTATCTTGGCTTGATAACCATCCTTGTAAACATGAACTGCTCTTCCTAGAAAGAACACCACCACCACCCAAACATTCTTGCCAAGTTAGCCTTCCAGGGCCCTCATTCTTTGGGGTCTGCATGACATAGGGGCCCGTGGGTATTGGCAGCTTACCACCCTTGCACATTTACTATGTTGGGGCCTGCCTTACAATGAGGAGGAGGAGGGGTTTGATAGATTCCATCAGCCAGGAATCTCACTGTTTTTTTTTTAGCACCTCCACATTTAATAAATTTGAACACGTGCAGACACAGAGCAGTCCCCAGCCACAAGCAGAGTTCAGTGGAGAGTGAGGGCCTCAGCCGTCATTCCCCGGCGGATGCCTTCCAAACACTTCAGCATCCTGACCTCACCTCATTTCCGGAGAAGTCCTTAAGCTCTCTTCCCCAGGCGCAGATGGGAGCAGAGCCGGGAAGATGAGGGACAGCTGTTGCTGCAAGGGGGACGGAAGAGACAGGCAGGCTCATTTTGGGTTGCAAGATGTCCCCAAGGGAAGTTATCCTCCCCTGCAGGACACTGAGCCCCAGGCTGTCACCCTGGTGGGGAGGGTCTCCCAGAGGCTGGTCTGATTATCCCAGCATCACCAGAGTGTAACCCAGGGCCTGGAAAATAATCGTTTATTACATGAATAAATAAATGAAAACCTGGATGTGATTTGAGGCCGCCAGAGAAGATTCCGGAAGTCAGCACCACTCATTGTGGAGGCTTGGTCTCAACCTCACCCTGGTCCCCGAAGGAGGCTGTTCACCTCCCACAGGCTCAACCCAGGCCCCGCTAAGGGAAGAGCATGCGATTAAATGGGGCCATCTTTGGGCTCAGAGCGCAGCCCCGCAGGTCAGAGCAGTGAGCCACCGCCACAGGGGGCAGGAAGGCGGCTGCAGCTGTTGATGTAATGTGTATCTGGAGGATAAATAAACTTCATTTCCCAGGCTGTCAATCTCTAAACATGCCGAAATATACATTCGCTCAGAAGGTTTAAAAAAATAAACAAATGTGGTGATGTTTGACTGAATCTTCCAGCGTCACAGCTCTGGCCCTGACGACTCACCATTCAGCTGGTTAATAAACCGTGTTTATGGATCCCCTCCTATGGGCCTGCCTGTAAACGTTCTGCTCCGAGGAGTGCTCTCTGTTCGGTTGTGGGGGAGGGAGGGTCCAAGCAGCACATCCTTCTAGTACAGCCACCAGCAGAACCCAGGAGGCCCACGGTGCAAGCCAGGTACACCATCATCTTCAATCCAGCTCAGCGCCTGCTGGCTGAAGCCTAGCCAAGAGCAGATGAGATCAGGAGAGAGACGACCCCGAGACTTTTAAACTGGGATTGCCTCTTCTTTTTTTTTCTTTTTGTTTTTTGTTTTGTTTTGTTTTTGAGATAGAATCTCGCTGTCACTAGGCTAATCAAAGGCGTGATCTCGGCTCACCGCAACCTTCGCCCCCAGGGTTCAAGTGATTCTCCTGCCTCAGCCTCCCGAGTAGCTGGGACTACAGGTGTGCACCACCACGCCCAGCTAATTTTTGTATTTTTAGTAGAGATGGGGTTTCACCATGTTGATCCAGCTGGTCTTGAACTCCTGACGTCGTGATCCATCCACCTTGGACTCCCAAAGTGTTGGAATTACAGGCATAAGCCACCACTCCCAGCAAGGCCTCTTCTAATAGGTGACAGAAAGGGACCCAGAGCCTGGATCTGATTCATTTGCCAGAAGGTCTTTCTACCATTCAATGGGTGGCATTAACTTTGAGTTCAGAGTTTTGTGCTTGGAAAAGGAGAAGGAAGAATGGAGCAGGGGGGAGGAAGAAAGGGGAGAGGAGAGAGGAAGAGAGAGGAGGAGGGAAAGGGAAGGAGGCTGTGTGAATGGCCGGCGTAGGCCATGGGCTTGTGCAGCAGCAGTGACAGGACTCCAGAGTCAGGAATCACTGTACCCTTTGTCAGGCGTCTCAGTGCCTGCCATGATGTCAGCACCGAGGTGACAGCCTGACTCCCACGGACAGACCAACTGCTGCGCTGGTGCTCAGAAAACCGGAGAGCAGCACCAGCCCCCGAGGAAAAACAGGCGGTGCAGGGCTTACGGGAAACAGCACACCATCTCCAAGCGTGTCTCCAGAGTTCCAAGGGGAATTCTGACGAAACAAGGTTTTCGCCTTCAGTACTGACCTTAGACCCAACCCCTCCCCGCAGCAACCCAGGCAGAAGGGGCCACCATGCCCCCAACACCCTGAAAGACGTCTGGGCCTGTCACAGCTCTTACAGGAACACAGCCAGAAACGCTCAGAGGAAACAAATAAATCGCAGTGTCGGACGCCGCAGAGGCGCCCAGATCCTCCCTCGGGGCTGAGCCGCTGCTGTGAGAGCTGGCTGAGGCTCTGTCCAGTCCCTCGTGGGGAACTGCCCTGTGCAGAGAGACGACCCTCCCTCCCGCACTGGTTTTAGGGTGACCAACTCATCCCAGTTTGCAGGGACTGTCTCAGTTTTGACACTGAAAGGACCACATCCCAGGAGCCCCCTTAGTCCTGGATGGGTGGTCACCCTACTTGTTGGGGTGAGGTGGGTCGGGAGCACAGAAAGGCCTGGCCCCTCACCCAACGAGAGACAACTCTGAAAGGCCACAGTAGCCGGTGGGTGCCTTTGCCACGACCCAGGCAAATTCACTGGCACCAAATCCTACCTCTTCCCTCCTCCATGGCTGGGGATCTTAAGGCCAAGCCTCAGGAAGCTTCCTGTGTACAAATTTTGACCCTGGAAATGGTCTTTTTTTGTTTTTCACTTTAGGTGCATACTGTATCTGGTATTTCTCCCCATGTTATCCCTCCCCATCCCTACTGTCTCTCCCCTACCCCTGCAACTGCCCCCTTTCCCTGAGTCCATGTGTTCTCATTGAGTTTAGCTTTCTGTTCTTGTGTCAGTTTGCTGAGAATGATGGTTTCCAGATTCATCCAAGTCCCTACAAAGGACACGAACTCATCATTTTTTATGGCTGCGTAGTATTCCATGGTATATATGTACCACATTTTCTTTGTCCAGTCTATCATTGATGGGCATTTAGGTTGGTTCCAGGTCTTTGCTATTGTACACAGGGCTGCAACGAACATATGTGTGCATGTGCCTTTATAGTAGAATGATTTATAGTTCTTTGGGTATACACCCAGTAACGAGATTGCTGGGACAAATGGGGAGCCTGACCTCAGGCAGCAGTACAAGTTGAATTGTGGTTTGGCAGCATCTGGCATCGTAAGGTTGTCAACAAACACCACAGCAAGGTGCACCTGGGGACTCCAGGAGGGTGAGAGTCTTATGCCTACTTGATCCTCTCCTGAGAGGCTCTCATTCTGCTCTCAGTGACTCTCACTTGCCCCACTCATGGAGGATTGTTTGAAATAAAACTGGATCCACGTCCATTTAGTTCTGAAGCCTCTATGGCATCCCTGGAATTGACAGAGATGCCTGGGGTACTGCTAACATCGGGTACTGCTAACATGGGCTCCTCAAGGTGAAGCTTGGAGCAGCCACAGGAAACCCAGCACTGGGAGGCAGCCCTGAAATCTGGGGTACCCCAAGCCTTCCTTGACCTTCACTCATGTGAAGGATGAGTAGAGACAGCCTTTGACATTTTGTCCACGGGGACCAAGATTTGACTTTAAAAAGCATCCAGATGTTGCTGGCAGGTTGGAGGTAGAGGGAGGGAAGATAAGTAATTTACATGCAATCCACATGATGAAAATAGTTTGAGAAGATCATCCAGGGAAGGAGAGGCTTATTGATGCCAGAATGAAGACAGGGCTTTCCAGCTGACAAGGAAGGTCACCTGCCTATGAGTAAAAAGTAGGTAAGGTGTTCTGCAAGGGCCCCTTTGATTCTAATATTTAAAAAATCACCTCCCAGGTCCAGTTTTCATTGGAAATTTACACCCTAGCCAAACACTGCACTTTGTAAGAAGTGAGGAAAAGACATTCTCTGCCTTCAGAAATCTTCACAAACCCCACTCTAAGTTTCATTTGTGCACTGCTGCATAACAAATGATCCCAAAATATGGTAGCTTAAAACAAAAACCATTTATCATCACTCACATTTCTATGGGTAGACTGGGCTCAGCTGGGTGGTTCTTCTGTTCTATGGTGATGTCATCTGGGGCCACACTTGTCTAGAAGCTCAACTGGGCTGGAGTGGCACTCTCTCATTCATTCACCTTGCTGGCAGTTCATGCTGGCTGTCAGTCAGGGGCTTAGGTGAATTGTCAATAGAAGCACCTCAGTTTCCTTCCATATGGGTTCTCCACTAGGCTGGAGCTTCTTACAGCACAGTGCTGAATTCCAAGTGGGAGTGTTCCAAGCAAGGGAAAGCAAAAGCTGCAAATCTCTTAAGCCCTGACTTTGGAAGTTATGCAACATCACTTTTGTCACATTCTATTGAGCAAAGCAAGTCATATTCCAGCCAAGATGCAAGAAGAGTGGAAAGAATCTTCACCCCTTGGTGGGAGAGGTGGCAGAAACTTACAGCCATCTTTTAACCCACTGCAGGTGGTCACTGTTAGGGAAATGGAGAATTACACACCACTTTGGCGGCATTATTATGGAGCTAAAGATCCCAGTTCCTGGGGTGAGGAGTCACAACAAGTGAAAAAGCAGTCACATCGCAACTGTCAGGGAGACCAACAGCCTGAGGACACAAAGCCATGGAAACAGGAGAAACCTCTTCCTCTTTCTCTCCCTGTGTGAGCAATGATGACAGGAGTGGAAGCCTTGTGTTTTGAAGCCCATTGACCTGGTCTAGCCACCTTTTTCTTTTCTTTTTTTTGAGTCTGGATGTTCTTCATGCAAACAGGAAGTCTTTAATTGCAAATTCCCACTTCAAGTCTCCTGGTGAGATCAGACTAGGAAACCCACTTCCTCGCTGCACCTTTCAATTCCAAGCTGAAAACACATCATTCAACACTTGTTTTCCAAAAAACTGACAATGCTGTGAACCAAATAAAATGGAACTTCATCCTAGGGCTTAATACATGTGTGGTAAGTTAAGACTACATAGATAGGCCAGGCATGGTGGCTCACACCTGTAATCCCAGCAGTTTGGAAGGTGGAGGCAGGCAGGTCACCTGAGGTCAGGAGTTCGAGACCAGCCTAGCCAACATGGTAAAATCTGTCTATTTAAAAAAATTAGGTGTGGTGGCACATGTCTGTAGTCCCAGCTATTGAGAGGCTGAGGCACCAGAATTGCTTGAACCTGGGAGGCAGAGGCTGTAGTGAGCCAAGACTGTGTCACTGCACTCCAGCCTGGGTAACAGAGTGATACTCCACCTCAAAAAGTAAAAAATAACTACATACATAGACAGTGCACAGGGAAGAGAAGGGCACATACTTGCTGCTCTTTTTTTTTTTTAAGATGGAGTCTCACTCTGTTGCCCAGGCTGGAATGCAGTGGCACAATCTCAGCTCACTGCAACCTCTGCCTTCTGAGTTCAAGCAATTCTCCTGCCTCAGCCTCCTGAGTAGCTGGGATTATAGGCATGCACCACCATACCCGGCTAATTTTTGTATTTTTAGTAGAGATTGGGTTTCACCATGTTGGCCAGGCTGGTCTTGAACTCCTGACCTCAGGTGATCCATCTGCCTTGGCCTCCCAAAGTGCTAGGATTACAGGCTTAAGCCACTGCACTCAGCCTGCCCCTGTTTTTTGTTTTTTTTTTTAACTCCTCTTTTAAAAACATTTTTTTAAAAACCTTGTTTTTCACCCATCCCCTCTCTGATTTTACATACCTAGACTGCAGATATCACATCTTGCGCCCAGCATGGATCTCTGAGCTGAACACCTGAGGAGCCCCCTGCATACCTAGGAGGCCACTTCTAACAATTCCTTGAGCAAGCTGGGAGGATGGGTGTGGACGTCAGAAATAGCTTCAAATGTTTCCCCAGTGAGGAAGGTGAAAACCACCCCCGATTTCCAGAAAGTGATTTCTCACCCACAAGGCAGTTTCAGAGGGTTAAGCTTAGCAGCCCCGGAGGGCCACAGCCCCCACGTGTCTCCATTAGTGCAGCAGTCTGCTGTCTGCTGTCTGCATATTGTTTCACTTTCTCGTGCATCGTGTTCCCAAAGCCAACTTAAAACCCAGCTAGAATGAAACCAAAAAGAGAGTTAGTCTCCACATCAAGGCAAGTCTGGGAGATAACTGGAGCATTTGATAAAAAGACATTGTGTGGACAAACCTACAACAAATAACCAAGAAACTCCAGATGAGTTCCACTGAATTGTAGATTTGTTTATTCATTCATTCAGCCAACATTTATCAAGTATCTGGTATGCCAGAGCCTGAACAACAGCAAACGTGAGTCTTGGTGTGTGGAGTCAGGTGGGAATGCAGGAGCTGAACTAGCAGTTACAAGTGTGAGAAGGGCCACAGAAGACAGCAGTGCCCTGCAAGAATGGGTCCCTTCCTGTAAAAGTGAACCATGTGTGGCTGGGCATGGTAGCTCACACCTATAATCTCAGAACTTTGGGAGGCTGAGGCAGGCTGAGGAACTCCTTACCTGAGTTCGAGACAAGTCTGGTGGCCAACATGGTGAAACCCCATCTCTACTAATAATACAAAATTAGCCAGGCATGGTGGTACATGCCTGTAATCCCAGCTATTCGGGAAGCTGAGGCAGGAGAATCACCTGAACCCGGGAGGCAGAGGTTGTAGTGAGCTGAGATCGTGCCATTGCACTCCAGCCTGGGTGACAAGAGCAAAACTCCATCTCCAAAAAAAAAAAAAAGGGAACCATGTGATCCATTGTGTGTCTCAATTATGCCGTCACAATTTTGATTCTGCAGCTACTGAAAAGTAATCTTTTATGAGCAAATGATTCAAGGGCCAAAGCTGCCTGCTGCTGTGTTCTGATTGCATGCCATCCCACACTTGTGATGGCAACCCAGGCACCGAATATCAAAGATCAGTCTGAAGTTCACACTACTGAAGGGTTGTCAGTAGAAGGACGCTTGACCACAGAGAAAAACAAGTCACCTCTCCGTGACTTGGCCCCTAGGGATCATCAGTCTAGTGACTCACCATTGCTTAGCATTTTTCTTTTGCCCAAAGAGAGGGCCAGGCTGGAGAAGGGTTTGGGGGAAGAGCTATGCATCTCCCAGGGGAAGCAACTGTCACCCCAGCTTGGCCACTGGGAGCCAAAGGCAGGTCACTGCTCCTCTCTGGCTTTAGTTTTTTCATCTTCAAAGTTGGGTAGGAGAGATTTATTGACCATGGTTTGTCACTGGGTAACTCTTCAGGTGCAACAAGGAGGCAGCTGGGGAGGGGTTGTCCTTAGGGAGGAGGCTCTGTGGCACTAGACGCACTTCTGCTGTTATCTGTTCAGCAGGTTAAAAAGTCCATCTCGTGGGGGCTGGGGAAGATTGCTGGGCTCCAGGGAAGACTCAGGGTGCTTGCCCACTACTATCAGCCTGGCTCTGTTGCAGGAACATGACTGGCTTTGGCCTTACCCTGATGAACCATCAAGCTCCCTCACGAAAGAAGAGACACAGAAGAGCTTTTGTGCATGCAATCTAACACAGGTGAGAACAAGAAGGATGGAGGGGAAGGGGTGCAAGGAAGACCCTGTCCCTTGCAGGGCACTTGTGGTTGGGAGACCTGAGCTGGGCATGTCAGCATCCCCTGATCTGGAACCCGAGAGCAATGAACCCCCCTGGATACATACATCACCTAGATCAGGTTTCTGCATCAGGTTTCATTTACAAAAGAGTTTCCCAGCTGAAATAAATGTGACAACCACATTCTGCAGTCACAGTGCTGGTGACTGGAGAATTCTTGCAAGCACTCTACACCCCTCCCTGTCACATTGCTACTAACAGCGGCCTTGCACCTGGGCCAGAGCATTCACAGGAGAGTGAGAGTAACAAGAATTGTCTCTAAGGATCTTAAGAGGAGGACAGCCAACTTGTCAGCCAAAGCACCTACCTGTTTCTCTCCTTCCTCCCCCTTTCTCTATCTTCATTCCTTCCTTCATTCCTTCATCCAACTCACCGGCCAACCTACTAATATTTTTTGGATACCTACCTTGTGCAGAGCTCTGGGCAAGACACTAAGAATTCGGCACTGACTGAAACAGTATCTTTGCCCATATAATTTATATTCTGCGGGAGATAAACAATAAGCAAACAAATAAATAAGACAACTGTCAATTGCGGCAAAAGCAGAAACAATGGAAGTGGAGAGTGGGTGAGGGGCCTCATCATTCCTGGCCTGGACCGCAGTCTTCTGCAGGTGGGCAGCCACGTCTCAAAGCAGGACTCCTTTCATACTTTAGTGTGTGCACGGAGCACTTGGGGACCTTGTGGCAATGAAGAAACTGACTCAGACGTTGTGGTGTGGAGCCCGAGATTCTGCATGTCTACTGGTCCCCGGGCCATGCTTTCTCCAGCGCAGGTCCACACAATATAGACTACTCCTTACCAAGCCCAGACAGGGGTGATAGCTGCTTGCCCCAAGGATGGCACCCCGGGGGAGGCTGGGGAGGGAGCCTGCGAAGATCTGCAGAACTTCAGAGGTTAGAGGAGCCTGCCCAGACCCATGGGCAGCTGCACAGCTGTACCCTACAAACACAATGAAGTGGCTTTAGCAGGAGCTGCGGCAGAGCTCACAGGTGTTTCAACCAGCTGCCAGGGCTGCCAGGAAACTTAAGCAAATAAATCTGCCTTTGCTATTTAAAAAAAGAACTATCTCTTAGCTGGGTATGTGTGGTGGCAGAGATAGGACAGCTCTATGATGAAGCTGGGTTGGAGATGGGCTGGACTAGTAGCACGAGATGGATCTCTGCACCCAGCCCCTTTGCCCATCTTGGTCCCACTTCTTTCTTCCTAAGTTCCAAAGAGCTGCACTCAGCCCTCAGGTCTCAGCATGCTGTGGAAAAGCACATGTGTTTGGAACCAATGGCACCTGAGCCTCAGCGAAACCCTAACAAGCATCACCCTCCCGGCCCTGGTGGTCCCATCTGTGCACCAAGCTAACGATGCCTGCCTGCTTTCCTTGTGGTATCATGGTGCTGATCAGAGGAAACAGATGCCATTAGTATAATGAACATGTCCAATCTAGCAGCCTGGAGTTTACCCAGCCTTGAAATAGACAGAGGGAACCCTTAGTTGTGGGTTTGAGGGAAGCTGATTAAGAGTCAGCCATGGGTTGGGCAAGGTGGCTCATGTCTGTAATCCCAGCACTTTGGGAGGCCAAGGCAGGCGGATCATCTGAGGTCAGGAGTTCAAGACCAGCCTGGCCAACATGGTGAAACCCTGTCTCTACTAAAAATACAAAAATTAGTGGGGCGTGGTGGCGGATGCCTGCAATCCCAGCTACTCAGGAGACTGAGGCAGGAGAATCGTTTGAACCCAGGAGACAGAGGTTGCTGTGAGCTGAGACCGCACCATTGCACTCCAGCCTGGGCAACGAGAGCAAAACTCCATCTCAAAAAAATGAGGCCAGCGCAGTGGCTCACACCTGTAATCCCAGCACTTCGGGAGCCTGAGGTGGGTGGATCACCTGAGGTCAGGAGTTCAAAACCAGCCTGACCAACATGGTGAAACCCCGTCTCTACTAAAAATACAAAACTAGCTGGGTGTGGTGACACATGCCTGTAATCCCAGCTACCTGGGAGGCTGAGGCAGGAGAATCGCTGGAACCCAGGAGGTGGAGGTTGCAGTGAGCCGAGATCGTGCCATTGCACTCCAGCCTGGGCAACAAGAGCAAAACACTGTCTCAAAAAACAAACAAACAAAAAAGAGACAGCCATGGCCTGCAGTTGTAAAGGACAACAATCGGGAGTTGTGAGAAAGGAGCCTGTATAAACACCAAAATCAGTTTCTAGAGCAGCACCTGGCACACAGGGGACTCTGCTCAAATGACGGCAGGCGAACACAGAACCCACCACTCCCACCATTCACTCGCACCCTCCTATTGGACCTTCCTTTTGGTTTCTTTATCTCAGAGCTCCTGTGTGGAACAAACTAGTTTTACCTGGAAAAGCTGTGCTGTCTCTTTAAGTCCCTCGCAAGTCTCCCGGCTTTCTTCGGCATCAGAGTTGGGCATCGCTGGGAATCTGACCCACATCTGTGCGGGATAAAGAACAATTATCAAGCCAAAACATGCCCTGCACCCAAGATACCTACTTAATTGGTGCTTTGCTTAAGCTAATGTTTCAGATGATTTGGGCCTCCCCAGTGCCTCGAGTGGAAAAGGCAGAGTTCATTTGCAGCGAGTGTGCCTCCATGCCTCGTGTGCCTCATCTGCACCACACATGCACGAAAGCCTTCCAGGGTGTGCATGGGCATGAACCTAATTAATCATGCTTTTCGCTTATTAGCAGTAACCAACTTCATAGGCAGAGCTTTTTGAACTTGTTTCTGGAAACTTTTTCTGAACCACAGGACTAGAATAGGATAGCAGACACTCTATATTTGTAGAGTGACCGAACAACATGGAATTGGCAAAGCATCGTGGCTAAAAGGGGTTAAGACATTGGCTTCAGACAGACCTAGGACCTGCGTATGAGTATCAGCTCTGTCTCTGGGACCTGAGGCTATCTAAACCCATGTGTTCACAAGCAGAAGTGATTAAATAAAATCGTATTGATAAAGCACTGTAACTGGCCAGGAGGAAGTACTTTAAAAATGTTAGTTGGTGGCCGGACGCGGTGGCTCATCCCAGCACTTTGGGTGAATCACGAGGTCAGGAGTTCAAGACCAGCCTGGCCAATATGGTAAAACCCCATCTCTACTAAAAATACAAAAAATTAGCTGGGCATAGTGGAGGGCACCTGTAATCCCAGCTACTTGGGAGGCTGAGGCAGGAGAATCACTTGAACCTGGGAGGCAGAGGTTGCAGTGAGCTGAGATTGCCACTGCATTCCAGCCCAGTAAACAGAGTGAGACTTTGTTTCAAAAGAAAAATTGTATTTGTTGAAGGTGACCATATACATTATTTCAGATCAGGGACACTTTTGATGGTGAATAGGGGATTATAATAATCATACCAGCACCAGGCAGTGACTCACATCTGTAATCCCAGCACTTTGAAAGGCTGAGGCAGGTGGATCACCAGTGGTCAGGTGTTTGAGACCAGCCTGGCCAACATAATGAAACACCATCTCCACCAAAAATACAAAAAATTGGCCAGATGTGATGGCGTACACCTGTAATCCCAGCTACTTCAGAGGCTGAGGCAGGAGAATCACTTGAACCCAGGAGACAGAGGTTGCAGTGAGCTGAGATCACGCCCCTGCCCTGTAGCCTGGGCAACAGAGCAAGACTAAACCAGGTCTGGCCCAACAAGCAGGGGTTGTGGGCACCCCAGATATTATTATTTAATAGAGAAAATGCTTAGAGATCATCAAATCCAACATATTTATTTGACAGATGAAGCTGGTGAACCTGAAAGGCTGAAGTCACACTGCCTTTAGCAGAATACTGGTTCAAGGTCACACTCGTTTTGGCCTCAGTCTCTGGGTCCCACTTGGGGAGCTAAGCTCCCAGCTGTTGTCGCCTTGAACATTGCAGAAAAGAGCTGTGAGGAGGTGGCCTCTAACTCCTGCCGAGGTTCTGAAAGATCCTAATTTACAAGGGATGGCAGTGAACTTCAGAGAGGTTAAGAAACTTGCCCCAGGCCACACAACAGTATGTAATTGCTAATGACGGAGTAGTGTATCACCTTCAGGCCTGGATTCTCTTGCACTGAAGTGGAAGTCACCACGTAGATTCTTTTTTTTTTTTTGCGATGGAGTCTTGCCTGTTGCCCAGGCTGGAGTGCAATAGCTCAATCTCAGCTCACTGCAATCTCCATCTCCCAGGTTCAAGCAGATTCTCCCACCTCAGCCTCACGAGTGGCTGGGATTACAGACATCATGCTTGGCTAATTTTTCTATTTTTGTAGAGATGGGGTTTCACCATGTTGGCCAGGCTCCTCTTGAACTCCTGACCTCAGGTGATCACCCACCTCAGCCTCCCAAAGTGCTGGGATTACAGGTGTGAGCCACCGCACCTGGCCACCATGTAGATTCTTACACCAGCAATGGTAGCTAGATATGGTTTCAGTGAAACCAACAACTTACTTTCAGCTCCCATGTCTTCTTTCGGCGTGTTTGTTTCCGAGATCATTGGTTCATCCTGATTATTGGCACATTCTGGTCAGAATAACTGTTCCCATTCATGTCTCTATCATAGTATAATTACTTGTTTGTTCATTTATTTATTTACTTAGAGATGGAGTCTCACTCTGTTGCCCAGGCTGGAGTACAGAAGTACAGAGTGCAATGGGATGACTTCTGCTCACTGCAACTTCCCCCTCCCAAGTTCAAGTGATTCTCTTGCCTCAGCATCCCGAGTAGCTGGGATTACAGGTGCCTGCCACCATGTCTGGCTAATTTTTGTATTTTTAGTGGAGACAGGGTTTCACATGTTGGTCAGGCTAGTCTCGAACTCTTGACCTCAAGTGATCTTCCCACCTCGGCCTCCCAAAGTGTTGGGATTACAGGCGTGAGCCTCCATGCCAGGCTAATTACTTGTTTATATGTCTGTTTCTAGAGACTCACTTATTTAGAGAGAGACTCCGTGCCTGGCACAGTGGGTGGGATACCATGGCACTCAGGCAAACATTTGCAGAATGTCACTGTTCTTGATGTCTGTCATGTTGCTTACCATTGGGAGGAACTGACAATGACCTCACTTTCCCCATCAAGATGTGAAAACTCTCAAAAAGAGCACCAAACATCCCTGCTGAATGAAATGTCTTACCTCCAGTGAAAAATGATAGGTGGCACCCTACCTCCCCCTGCTAAATAACGGAGACTAATTTACACCTGATAGGTTTCCCCATTCAGCTTATTTTTCCTAAGCATTTTCATTTCTCCCTTAAATCCAGGAAAATCACTGTTTACCTCATCCTCCAGCTGGAGCTGGCTTTCCTGGTTCACAGGAGTCAACAGCGTGCACCTCTTACCAAGGCCTTGTTTAGGGAAGACACGTGGATAGCTTGAAATTAGCCATTGTGAGAGTATTTACACCATGGAAATCGGCAAAACTACAAATCAGGGCTTTTTAAAACATTTCTTAAAAAGCCAGTTGTTAAACATTTGCCAGCACACACTTGGTGCCAAGGCACCAAGCCCTCCTTCCCCTCACTCTGCCTGCTTATACGTATCTTAATGCTCTTGAGCCACCAAGGGGTCTCTCGGTTTCAACCACATTATCTGTTCTCTCCCAAGACCCATCTGGGTGCCTCTCAACCCTTCTGCTTCTCCCTGCCAGGTGTGGGTAGCCAGCACACCACGGCTCTAAAAAAGGTCTTATCTCTAACAGAATCTCTTACAACCAAGTCCTCCCACTCCAAGCGAGTCAGTTCAGCATGCTGCTTGTAAAAATGTGTTTACAGAATGTCTTTCAGATCCAGGCTTTGCACATGCCTTCACTTGCTAAAGAATTAGCCAGTTCCCCTCCACTTCCCCGCTCTCATGTCCCAAACAAAGTGTGATCATCACATTTTTTAATCTCCAGCACACCCTGGGTCTTGTCAGGCAACCGCATACGGACTGAGTTTCTTTTAAACAGGCTAAAGTTTCTCATCTCTCAGCTTAGTCTTTATGGCTCTGACTAGGGGAAAAGGTACTCACCACTTCCAAGCCAGGCTGCCAAGAAAAGGCTCAGCAGAGCCCCCCAGCTAGAATTAAAAAAAAAAAGTCTCCTTTTGAGGAACGCTGATTTACAGAATTAAGTTACGGCCCGACTCTTCAAACGGATAATCACAGACTGTAGCAAAGCTCTGAGGCTGAAATGTGAGCTGCTGTTTTGCAGTGTGCACTGTGATTTTGAGCGAAGTCTGCTTAAATTGTGATGCTCTCATCACAGCCCTGCCTTTCCTCTCCGTCAGTTTCCAGGCACTGGGGATACATCCAGGCTGGGGCTTCAACTGGATTTCCCCATCAACATTTATTTACAACATTTTTAAAGATCAGAGGTAAACGTTTACTCGAAGAGAAGTCTTACGTAACTATTGCCCGCCCTGCTCGTCCCCCGACTCTGCTACAAAAGACTGGGTTGAGTTCTGCCTGTTTCCCTGAGAAGACGCAAGCCTTTTAAAGCAATGAAATGATCGCTTCTTATTAATTTAGCTGTAACTCAATTATTTTGGAAACAAAACAAAGAGACTGTGGAATATCTTGCTAAAAATAGCAAATCAATGAAGTGGAACGGTTGGTTTTAAGACAATTAATTATGCAACAGTAATGTTCTTCATCATCTCTAAAGGAAACTGTTTGCTCATAGTACTAGAGGAGACCAAGCAGGGGCCTTGCCAGTCAGCCCTCGTCCCAGCTCATCATTTAGTGCCCTCTGGGGCTGGTTGTTTCTAACTAGTTTTCACTGTGGGAGGACCCAGTGGGACTAGGGGAGCGTCAAGCCCTATTCTGGCCACCTGAGTATCATCAAGGAGGAAGAATTCAAGCATATTCCTTTCATCGGTGGCTCCTTTCAGTGGGAAGGAAAACCCCAGTGCCCACCCATCATTACACGAAGTTTCTGTGCTAGAAGACACGGGCAGACAGGCTCTGCTTACAGGAATTGATGCGCGTGTCATGAAGTAGGGGCTGCCAGGGCACACAACCACACAGAGCATGAGCATTACTTAGCTCGTCACCACCATCTGGCTCCCACTCTTCATTATGGAGATGACTTGGATTTATTGAATGCCTGCTGCATGCCAGATGCAGTTCTAGGCACTATGCATACATCCACTCTTTTCAAATTCTGTGGTCAAAGGATTGTAACATAAAGTGTACCATATTGGTTTTTTTTTTTTTTTTTTTTTTTTTTTGAGACAGAGTCTCGCTCCACCCAGGCTGGAGTCCAGCGGTGCGATCTTGGCTCACTGCAACCTACACCTCCTGGTTCAAGTGATTCTCCTGCCTCAGCCTCCCAAGTACAGGCACCCGGGATTACAGGCAGCTGGCACCATACCCAGCTAATTTCTCTATTTTTAGTGGAGACAGTGTTTCACCATGTTGGCCAGGCTGGTCTCAAACTCCTGACCTCAAGGGATCTGCCTGCTTTGGCCTTCTAAAG